ATGTGCACAACATGGACATTAACTTCAATAATTCAATTTTGATGCTTCTTCCAAAAATAAGGTTATAGCAGTACTTAAGAGTAGGTGAGCCCAGCCACCTAGCTCAATTATAGGCAAACACGTTTCAAGCTTAAGCTCGTTGTTGGATTGGGCAACAAAGCATAAGATCTGTGTTGGTATAGAGAAAAGTTTGGTTTACATCCATGAGAAATCAAGTTTGAAGGTCATTAATAGAGATATCAAGGCTACTTAATGTGCTACTTGATGAAAATCTTAACCTAAAGATATCTGACCATTGATAGGCAAAGCTTGATGAAAAGGCTATTACACACATTGTCAAAGAGTTCAACAATGTTACTGTCCATGCAGCACACTAGAGATCCAATTATATTGGGTAGGCAAATAAACGATTGTCATTCCTTACATAGATGTTTATGGCCTTTCTTATCTGCGATTTGTGTGAGACTAAGTTTTGCCTATGTTGTAGAATATCTGCAATTACTCTCACATCTATTAGATTTACATTTACTCTAATAAAAATATACTTGTTTTGGTAGACTTTAATCCTCCAACAGGAAGTGTAAGTACCATATTGCGTGGTAAGTCACGTACCTATAGGCACAACTGTTGGAATTTGGTGTTTTACAGTAAGTTTTCCCTATGTTGGAGGATGGTATTTCTTGTTTCTCTACTATATTATCTTTTCTTTTCATTGTTCCATTGCTTAGAACATCTCTATCATCTTATCAATAGCCGCATTATAAATAGTATAAACTGCCTTATGCACGTTGAATTTCACTAAATTAGCATGCGGAGACTAATATTCATTTTAGCCTCTTAACTTGTTACTAGTAAAATTTGAACAAATAAAGTAGAATATAAACAGTAGCGTGATGTGCACAACATGGACTTTAACTTCAATAATTCAATTTCGAAGTTGCTTCATAAAAAAAAAAAAAAAAAAGGGGGTTATATCAATACTTATTGTTTGGATCAAAACTTAAACTTTGGGCTCAAGGAAGGAGCTGGCCCGAAAGGAGGCCCAAAGGGAAAAAATAGCCAGAGCCCAGTCAAAGCCCAGAAGGCAGGAAAAGGGCATTTTCTGACTTGGTGCAGCTCATGAAGACCACTTGCTTACCTACCCAAAGGCCAAGTGGTGTAGACTGATCAGCTACACAGCCCATAAAGCACTTTATGATGGCATTACATGTAAAATAGCTGATGAGTCATCACCCTCAAACCGTATTCGGGCAAAGATGCTGCTACAGAAGGCCAAGCCGAGTTGTCTATATAAGAAGAAAGAAAATCCGGGAATAGGGACACTCAATCAAACAAACAAATGCAAGCACAAACTCTGCTCAAAGTCAGATTTGCCTTCAAAACAAAGCTGTAGTCAGCCTTCATCCCTTTCGGGACAAGCCTTCATCCCTCGCGGGATAACTCTCCCTCCAAACCTTTGTAATAGCTCTGCTACCCTGTTTAACCTTGCTATTGTATCGATTCATCTTTTGTAATCTCTCTCTATCCCTCTAAAGCCTTCAGACCCTTAACAAAACTACAAAGATAGGAACCTACAAGACGAGCAGCCTTACCCGATAAGGTTTAACCTTGCCCGACCTTCTTTGCTTTGTTTTTGTCTTTTCAATATGTTGTATATGTCCAGTTATATGCAAGCTATTTCTAGCAATATGACTATTAAAAGGCTTTCTCAATACTTGAATCCGATTTGAATATATCTTAAATGTTCAAACCAGATCCAAGTCCTAAGCCCTCGGGCATGTAAATCTGATCAGTAAAAAGTCCTTGGCCTCAAGGCATAAAAAAGAACTTTATGTGGACTTAACCCATCCACGACAGTCCTTGATAAACGAGAAGTCCGAAGTTACTTGGGGCGCAAGTAATCGACCTACCCTCTAGTTTTATTTCTATTATATTATGATTACCATAGAACGCTTGAGCATGGAATGGATTCTGATGGAAAGCCTCAAGGCCTACACCTAAGGCCCCACAAAGGCATCCATTTGGATTCATTCCGTTCTGCGATCTAGAGAGTTTAAGTATAAGAATGAACTCTGATGGGAAGCCTCAAGGCCTACACCTAAGGCCCCACAAAGGCACCTATTTGGGTTCATTCTACTTCTTAGACTCGGGTAATCAGAAGTATAATAGTTAGAAAACTCCGGCAATCATGAGAACAAATATGATATGTTCGGGCACTGGTTTAGTTATTTATGGGAAGCCTCAAGGCCTACACCTAAGGCCCCACGAAGGCACCTGTTATAACTAACACGGTTTCTCGAATATATACATATATACAACTAAAACTCGACATCCATTTCACATCTGCCATGCTGAAGATGGCAGTGGCACGCCTGAGCACCTAAAAGTTAACCTTGATTGTGAGCCTCAAGGCCTACACCTAAGGCCCTACAAAGGCACCTCTCAAAGTTAACTATGTCCTTCTCTTTCAGCCTTGCCCGACAAGCCTTGCCCGAAGAGTCTTGCCCGACGAGTCTTGCCCGACAAAGCCCGACAACGAAGCAGAAGCCCGACAGCAGCCCTCAACCGGCGCCAACCTCCAGGGGAGCTGTGTGCTCGTCGGCCAGGAAACATCCCCGACGGAAATTCCTGACGCGAACACTTATGAGTAGCCGAGCCAAGCCGACCTAGTCCAATTATAGGCGAGCACGTTTCAAGCTTAAGCTTGTTATTGGATTGGACAATAAGCACAAGATATGTGTTGGTATTGCGAAAAGTACGGTTAACATCCATGAGAAATCAAGTTTGTTGGCCATTCATATCGAGATATCAAGACTACTTCATGTGCTACTTGATGTAAAACTAATCCAAAGATATCTAACTATGGACTCGCCAAGCTTGATGAAGAGTCTATAACACATTGTCATACAGTTCGACTCAGTTACTGTTCATGTAGCACACTAGAGATCCACTTCACTGGGAAGGGAAATGAACCACTACTATTCCTAACAGATGTGCCTATGGGCCTCTTTCTGATTTCCTATCGTACTTGCACGCATCTTAAATTCCTGCCAACTTTTCCTCGTCAGATTTTAAGGTTGATACTTTGGAGGAGGGGCGGGGGGGGGGGCTAGCAGCATTTGTGTCTGCTACATCATTGCTGTTAAGTAGCTCTCAGCCAAATCAAAGCAAGGGAACCCTGAATTTGTCGATGAGATAGGCATATGATATCAGCTTTGCAGCACCCAAACCTCGTGAGGCTTTTCGGTTGCTGTATTGAAGGAAACCAGTTGCTGCTTATGTATGAATAGGGCTGGAAAAAAATCCCAAAAATCCCAAACCAAACCGAAAAATTCCCGAAACCAAACCGAAAAAATCCCAAACCGAAATTCCCGAAAATTTCGATACCCAATACCGAACCGATCCCGAAATTTTGGTACGGGAATCGGTCTCAAGTTTTTGGGATTTCGGTATTCCCAAACCGAACCGAAAAAATATATATATATTATTTAATTTTTAAATATATATTTAGATCAATAGAGTCCATAGAAAATGAAGGCTTCAATAGTTGCACATATTTCTGTATGAATGATTTAAATCGACAGAGTCTTGCAATTGTAGCATCTACATTTGAATCCAGATTGGCAAAGTCTTGCAATTGTAGCATCTACATTTAAATTGACATAACTTGCAATTGGCACATATTGCAACGGGCTTCTTAGCAGATTGCAACCCAAAAGTGTTAAAAGGTTCAATTTTAGCCCAAAAACATAATATTTTAGTCCAAAAGCCCAAAAGCCCAAAATCATTTCGGGATTCCCGATTTGTCCCGAAATCCCGAAACTATTTCGGGATTCCCAAAAATTGGGATTCCCAAATATTTGGTTTGGGATCAGTATTAAAATTGGGATTCCCGAAATTTTTGGTTTGGGAATCGGGACAAGGGTTTCGGTATGGGATCCCATACCGAACCACCCCTATGTATGAATACATGAAAATAACTCCTCTCTTTCGAAGGCCAAAATTTTTAATTAGTGAACTTTACAAGCAAATAAAAGAATAAAAAATAATAAGAAAACTAAAAGGTAAAAGAAAATAAGCAGTGAAACAGGTAACATTGGTATAATTAGCAGTAGAACATGATTCACATATTCACATGTGGTATTGTTTTCAGAGCTTGAGACTGGCTATATACACTTGCATTTTGCACACTCCATGGGGCCCAAGCAATCAAAATTCGAGAACATTATTTAACTGAATCGAGAAGTAAGGTCGACCAACATTGGAAAGAGGAGTATCCACTCTTAATACGATCCCCGAGTCCCCGACATTTCCATTCCACTTGGATCTGCCAACCTGAATACACAAGACCAAACAATAATGAAGAAGATATTAAGAAACAATTGAGTATGAGAAAGTACGTGTTTGTATATTGTAAATTAACAACTTGTTGCGAGTACAACTGATAGTAAGAACATAGGAGTAGGATTCTCTTTTCTCCTAATCTTTCTTCCCTTCGTTCCCTCCTCTTTGAATGGTTATGATAGTAAATAAATAAAGCTGAAAGGCTTACGCCTCGCCTTGCGAGGCATAGACGCCTCAACTTACACCTTCGCCACTGGAAACATTGCTATATACAACAATGAAGCAAACAGCTTTCCAATGAATATGGTCTTTAGTAACTCTTGTATTTTACTTGGAAATCTTGAAAAAACCAGAGTAATAAAATTTTCTTGAGATGTTTGCATGAAATTAAAAGCTTAAGAATTTAAAAGGTGACAAAGCTTGCTCTACGTTGTGAGAATAAGTGAGATCCCAGAGAACTAAAGGATAAAAATGATAAAATATGCACTGGTGTCAGCAATAACATACCGACACTGAAGCAAAAGCAGAAGGATGTGCTGTGAATGCACAACCACATATCAGATTCAGCTGTTCCTTCACTGAGTGAATGAGCTCTGCCCGCAAACCAGGATTGCTTCCGCCAAAAGTGGGACATAAACTGACCATTGTAAAATTCCATGAAACATGTCAGTCAATACCAACTATCATGAATGTTAAAATTGCACATGAAAATGAAAGATGACTTTGCATGTGTTACTTGACCCGGTTAAAAAGATGCCAATATTAATGAGGTGCACACGCTTCACAGGGATGTAAGAAAGTAGTTTAAAACATGCTCAGTACCAATTTTCCCTCGGCAAAAGAAATCTGATGTGAGTTAACCCTCTAATGATCAATATCACAACTTAGGCTACATAAACATTGCAAGTCAAAGATACCAAAGTTTCCAACCGTTTCGTAAAGTTACATGCAGACACGCATCATATGCATCTATCACCTCGTGTAACTCTATGAAATATCACAACAAAATTACTCTTATTAAGCTCCAATTCAACTTGAGAACACACCTTTCATCCAACCCAACCAACAGAATCATAAATAGCAGGGAAAGAATTAAGATTGGAATGGGAAAGTCCTGCTGGAACCATCAGTGACCTCAAAGACGTCTTTCGGACCTAGCCCTTTTAGGGTAAAAATATTATAATGTTATTCTTCGTATTTTGGTGCAAATTTTTGTCCACAAGACAACATGTGCAGAGGCCAGAAGGGAACAGTAATAGCACTTAAACATCATATTATATCATGTGATCCAGAACAGCATAAGTAACATTCATTTGAGTATTTGACTGGGTTATTAATTATTAACTTATCATAGAAACCAGTATCAACAACCAATATACCTCTTTTCCTGTAAACCCTCAACATAGCACACGAATGCAAGAGAAGAACTTTTATTATGGAAAGACAATAATGCACAGCTAAAATATACAGAGACGTCATAACCTAACCTGAACTGTATTGTAGGCCTCACCATGAGACCAGATCGCTGCCAAGCCAAGGCTTGTGAAAGACCCAGTGTAAAAGACTTGTCTGGCCATTGTATCACAGGTGTGATGCGTGTTCCCCACTTATTCTGAAACAAAATAGATTTAAATAAACTTAACTCAAATAAAACAACAGAACTAAGTGTAAAATAGTCTTTATAGGTACAAATTGAGAACAAAACTACCACGCTTATTTGTTAAAAGAATTTTCCTAGTTTGCAATCTAACCTTGCGAGAGAAACTGAATCTCATTTCTCCAGGATATTGACCTTGAGCTTGTAGAAGGCCACCACAAAGAGGTAAGAAAGCACTTGTACTAAGTCCTTCACCAGATATATATGTAAATTGCCCGTTTGGAAACTGTAAATCAACAAATGACTGGGCACAGAGGGAACATGAGATCAGTGAATCAACCCCAGAAACCTAATAATAGTGTTGACACTGAAAAACAAATATATGAAGGCACAAAAATATGTATTCTAAAGTAAGTAGTCAACTTACACAGGCTAAAGGTTTCAGGCAGACCATTGACATTAAGAGCCACCTTCTGTGTTTTGACCACACAGCCGGACAAAGAGAATGCATCCCATTCTGATAATTGAAACAAAAGGGTATATGAGAACATGGCAAGGAAACTGGAAGATGTGAAGAAGCATCAAGCTGCTATACATGATATAGTCCTCAATAGTTCACCCAATTCGTTTTATTTTCTTGCACACCTATTGGTGCATTTGATACTCTCCTCTGGTGACTTCTAATGAGACTTTCACTTATTATAAAATAGTCACACACAAGGTTTTTCCTTTCTTATGCTACTAGTGATGCATTGACAAGATTTTCAAACAATTAAGAATAATGCTAGGTAGAAAAGCTATTTCAAATAGTCAATTTTGGATGTCGAGGGAAAAGAGATAAGTAGAGCACAACTCAAACATAAATCAAACTTGAGTTCCAATTATCCTTACATCTCTAGATAGATAGTACCCCCTATTCAAATTTATCATTAGCTTTGATGAATAATTAGTTTTACACTTGCACGTAACAAATTGGTCAAAAGAATTTGATCATACCTTCTTATCATAGCCATACCAAAGTAGGTGTTGCTTTGACAAATGCACAGGAAGAAGAAGAGTTGCATCACGAACAAAGAGTACCGGCCCAAGCTGGACAAGGAAAAGTGATGAATTGTCATTTCTAGATGTGGAACTGCCACTAGAAGCCTCTACTCTCCATAAGTCTCCCCTTGCAAGGAAAGAACTTTCCAGCTTACGGGTTCTAGTATCATAACTTGTGGTGGTATTTACAGTCCCCTGCAATTTAGCACCCCACATAAATAAATAAAAATAAAAATAATCAAAATGCAGTCGGTAATTGCAGTACCAAGACCAAACATATAAAATTCCACACGATTGCAACTAATGGTTTGGGCGATAATTAATAACGATAAGGTAATGATAATGATAGCAACAAATTGATAGTGCTGACAAGATATCGGTAATGATCACCACTAATTCAACTGACCAGTAAAATATAGATGTCAGTCCAAATACATTTCATGAGTAAGTTTCCCATATCAATCAAACTTCTATATATCATAAACACAAACATATATTAGAAATTCCATTCCATGAAATTATTAGACACCCTGTAGATTATAGGCAAATGGTTATAGTTTAATATACCACTTATCATAACACTACAAAACTACCCATAAGAAAATAAAAATAGCATCCATTCAACAATTCTCCTCATCAGGATTTCTGGTTTGGCATACAACCTATCCTCAGAACAAAAAAATCATACAACCTCTCCTAAACTTACTGCACTGTGCATAAGAAAAAAGACTACAGCATCCTATCACGAATTCTACCATCACATGAATTATTAAGCACCTTGCTAATTACATCGAATTGGTAAACTTTAATCTAGGACCTATCATATGACATATTTCCCATACCAAAGACATATAGAGCAAACTTTCACTTCTGTCAGCACTAAGCGATTACCTATGAAACACAATCATGCTCTACCATAATTCATACGTAATTGTAATTCCTTTACTAGTGGTTCTGGTTCCTTAACAAGTTACAAATGTAGCTTGGCATCTCCAATTAGAAATGAACGGTGCAACTAGTTCATAAATAAAAAACATAAATCACATACTATACTAGTTGGTTGAAAAAACTTACCAGCGGTCTACCCAGAAGACCAGCGGACCTTATATTCAAGCCACCAAGTTCTTCATCCACCACACCATCAGAGCCACCGTCACTCTCCACAACCCTGAAATCCTTCAACCGTTCCTTCAGTGGCCCCAAATCTTCCTTACCACTCAAAATCATATCGGCTCTCTGCTTAACCTTATCTGAATCCATCCGAATTACCGCCAAATCAACATTCTCATCATGCCTAAACGGTACAGGTAAGGTCCTAAAGAACTGCTGAACCATCCCATTCAAGCACGCACCAAAATCCGCCCCTGCTTGCCCAATCCTGTTACCAATATCCAGAATCGCCGAAACCCCATTAATGCCCGGGTTCTCAGCCACCAACCCAACAAAATCCCTCTTACCAAAACTCTGGTTCGGGAATTCAAGGTCGAAGAGCTTCGATGTGTTAGGGTTTGGCCAATGAAACGACGGTGGAGTGATATGAGACTGAATCAAACCCGTGAATCCCTGCGTGAGGCGATCCGCCAAGTCCTGCCCATGGCGCTGCACCTCCTCCCAAGCTTCGAAGGACCTCTCGACCGACATTTCGACGAAATTTGAAAGCTTTTCCTGCTATTCCTCTGAAACAATCACAGCTTCTTCTTAGCACAAACCAACGGGACGAATTCTCGAACCAAAAAACAATGAAATTTGGGATTTTTAGCCACTGATTAGGTAAAACAAATCTAAAACAGTGAAATTACAATCCCAAACTTGAAAATTTGAGCTCTCGGGATTAGGGTGCTCAGTTCAAATTCGAAAAGGAACCCAGATAAGTGAAAAGAAAACTCGGAGCTTGGAAATGGAAGCTGTCGAGCTTCTAGGGTTTTTCAGTCAAAATTCGCAAACAAAAAATCCCAAACTTTAAAGGAGAAAGCGAAAATTGAGAAGGGGAAGTTAAAACTTGAATCTTCTGTGAGCTCCAAAGAAGCAACTGAAGAAGAAAAGAAAAGGCATGGCCATTAATTAGGGTTTTTGATTTGGGAATTGCGATGGAGAGGAGGGGATTGGCTGGATGAAAATGCGTAGTGCGCGTAGTGCGCACATAGTTTCCGTTAACGCGACGCTGGAGGGGAAAGGATGGTGTCATTTGTGGGGGATGTGTGTCGAGTTAGGGATAGGAGAGAATGTTAAGCTCCACAGTTGGTGGATGTAAAGGCCATCACAGACCAATTACAAATTTTATTGAGATTTAAAAAAAATTTAAATATTATTTTTTGGGCTGATATTAGTTACGCCCCTTGTACTTCAAATTATTATTTTTTTTGTTGGTTGAATGAACTGCACAAAATACACATGCACAAATAATTAGGATTTAGGAATTTTCCAAAAAAATAGAAAATTACTTAAACAAATTAAGGACTGATTTGGTATTGTTATACTTTGAAAAAAAACTGCTGTGAGAATAAGCAGTTGTGCTGTGAGAATAAGCGGCTGTGAAATAAATCAGCAGAGTGTTTGGTAAACTTTTTTGTAAAAGTGTTTTTGAAAAAAAAAAACAGTCTGATAGTGAGTCTTTTCATTAAATGAGCAATATAGTTCCATGTGCTTTGAAAAAAAGCCAGTTTTCCAAAGCTGCAAATAGCAGCTTCAGCTTTTTCCTTTGATTTCAGCTTATTCTCACAGCAGCTTCCAAAATAAGCATTTTTTTTCAATTTACCAAACACCTAAAACCCTCACAGCTTTTTTTCACGGGTGGTTTTTTTTAAGAGCAGTTCCACCGGAGGTGGATTTGCCCAGCACCCAGCCAAAAAATCAGGCTGGCACCCTGTCAATTCACTCCAGCCCGCCCAATTGCCTGGCACCCAACCCAAGCCAGGCAACAGACCAGCTCATTCTTGACAGACCCAGAGACCGGCCTATCTGACGCCAGCGTGACATCGACGCCCTCTCCGACGCCGGTGGGGATGGCCAATTTGTAGGATTCAGAGCAAAGCAGATCCAACTAATCTAGTCACATATGATTTCACCAACAAAAACTCAACCAATGCTCATCTGGGTTTCTAATATAATCCGATTAATGAACCATGGGATTGGATTAATCCCATAAACCAATAAAACCTGCAGATCTATTTACTTTATCACTATCCTCTGTTTCTTAAATAAATCACAAGGTTTAAGTCTTTCAGATCTATCGCAAAAACCCATTAAATTTAAGCAGAGAGGAAACCGAAAACTAAAAACAACAGATCGTATTCATCAGTTTTCCTGCAATTTCTGAGCATCCAAACCGTGAGAGAAGATGGGAATGTAATGAAAGAAATTGATATGGGGGCTTACTTTGTCAAGAATTCTTCGTCGACGACGGCAGAGATGTCGAGAAGAGGATTGCCCATCCCCAGGAGGATCTGCTCGTGCGCCATTGATGAAATTTCCTAGGAGTTTTGAGAGTTGTTTTCAAAGGGAGGGAGGGAGGTCGGCTAAGTACAAAGTGAGTGAGTTCGCGGACGAAACTATTTATAGCAGAGGAGTTCGCTTGGTGAAATAATATAATATTAGATAGGCTGGGTGCCAGCGTATTTTTAGGGGTGGAGATGCATTGGCTTATTAATGTTCATTGGGGTCTATTACTGTTCACTTGAGTGGATAAATGCGCTGGGTGCTGGCACAAAGTCTTTAGGGGTGGACTTGCTCTAAGTACTTCACTCCCAAACCACCCCTAAATGTCGTCAACCAACCAATATAAAAATTCAAATTTCTACCCAAAAAAAACCCGTAACCAGCTATATAGGGGATTTGGTGGCATGATTTTGTGCATAAATTAAAATTTATGGACATCTATTATCTTCTATGACATTATATTCAAAATTCAGAATTTATTTTCAAAATTTAAAATTTCCAATTGTTGATACGACCAAGCAAATCAAATATTGACGCCATTATCGATCAAATTAAAAGGAGGAGACAAGAAATGCAATTCTTGAGTATTATATCAAATTTACTACTTTTTATGATAACAGAAGAATACATCAAGAGGGCAATACTCTGGCAATTGCTGCAGCCACATAAGCAAGATCATGGACAGCTTTGCTTTGATCTTTGAAAGGACTGCCACCGGAAAAACCTGTTTCGCGTGAATCTGCGTTTGCGACGATATTGACCATGCCTAGCTCTACTGACTTATAGGCACCTTTAGAGAAAGCTTCCGTGGCTTGAGGAAGAGTAATTTGGATCACATCGTTGTAGTTATTTCTGCAATCTTCTGCGGGGATATTTCCCGGTTCGTCATTGATCAGCTCGTTGATTAGGTCCACAGTTTCGCGTACCTTAGCCGTATCTGCATAAATCATTATGATGCCTAAGCCTTTCACATCTGCAGTGGGGCTTCGAGGGGTCTGATTGAAGAGCAGAGACGCAAAGATCGGGATATGGTGTTTGGTTGCATGTTTGTTCGATCAGATTGTCATCCATTGGGAAGAAGACCGTCGGCCTGCTGCTCAGAGCCGGCTGGGGGAGTGCAACCGGTTCCATGGCACAGGGCCCCAAAATTTTGGAGGCCTCGAAAAATATTTTTTATTGAATATAATAATATTATATAAAAATAATATATAGAAATACTAATCAAATCAAAATATATACATATAAAAATCTGATGGGCCAAAAACCATTAGACTACCACCTAAAAGCCATCAGACTACTAGTAGTACTACCTACAATCTGTACGAAAATATATAAAATAATAATTAACAAGGGGCAAATTAATCAATTAAAATGGAAAATCCATTCAACGAGGCAAACAATTCAGAGATAGACTACTTCTCTTACGCCAAAATTTCATCGCTGCGTTCTATTTTTCTTCTTTTCACACCAGACTACCGTCACTACCAAGGCAAACAATTCAGCGCAGAGCACCATAACGTGTGCCAGTGTGAGTGTCCCAGACTCCCTGTATAATTCCCTTCTGTCTTCGTATATTTCCCACAAATTATTAAACCCTAATTTATAAATTTATGAAGTTAAAGAGAAACTTCCAAATCATGATGACAATTCAACTGATCAGAGTGATGCAGACTTCGATCAAAATAATATATTTACTAATTTAAGTATATTGACTCGAAATTTGAAGATTTGGGAATTTCTCATCTATAATGATTTTTTTTTCTTTTTTACTTTTCAGGATAAAATCAAGAGAAGAACAATCACAAAAAATCGCTAGACGCTCATGTATTATGGACTATCAGGTTTCATTGTTCATACTTACTATAATTTTATTGTGATCTTGTTTGAGATATAAACTATGGCACCTACTAGAAAATATCAATCTGACTACTTAAAGCGTCAAAGAAAAAAAAAGTTGAACAATTGATTCAGTCTCAAAAAGGAGCTATTGATAGGTTCTTTCTGAAAGAAAAAGAACCACAAAGTTCAGTGGATGATTTAATTACGAAACAACAGGATGACAGTGAAAAAATAGTGGATGATTTGGGCAATGATGAAATTGATGATGACCTTGATGAGAATGATAACCATGAGGATGCTCCTATTGTCACTGATCAACTGAGTGAGTTCATTCCCTCAAACATTTATGATCCTCAAATTTGGGATAGTCTTGATCCTCAAATTTGGGATATTGATTTGTTGGCAGAAAAAGGTCCTGCAAGAGATCTATCAATTGAGAAAGGTCCTAAAGATCAGTTTAATAGGCGTTTTAATGCAACCTTTTACACTCGATACTTATCCAATTGAGAGAAACATGATAGAGATTGGCTAGTCTATTCATAGGATGTTGATAAAGTGTTCTGCTTTTGTTGTAAATTGTTCAAGAAAGGGCCTCTTAAAGGTCAATTAGCAAATGAAGGCTACAAAGATTGGACACATCTCAATGTGAGGCTTAAAGAGCATGAAAATAGTTTTGATCACATCTCGAACATGACCACTTGAATTGATTTGCGTCTTAGATTGTAGAAAAACGAAACAATTGACAAAGTTGTGCAAGACCAGATCAAAAAAGAAAAAGAGCATTGGAGAGAGTTATTACTAAGGTTGATTTCCATTGTGAAATATTTAGCTAAACACACACTGGCTTTTCGTGGAAATAACGATACGCTTTATGAAGAAAGTAATGGAAATTTTATGGGTCTAGTTCAAATGATGGCCAAGTCTAATTCATTGATAAAGAATCATCTTCAACGCTTCCAAAATAATGAGATTCGTTATCATTATCTTAATCATACCATCCAGAATGAGTTTATATTGTTGATATCTTGTGAAATCAAAGATGCAATCATTCAAAAAGTCAAAGAAGCTAAATATTTTACCGTGATTCTTGATTGTACTCCTGATTTTAGCCACCAAGAACAGATGACCTTGATCATAAGATGTGTGGATATGAACAATACTCCAGTAAAAGTAGCAGAATATTTTTTGCAATATCTGATTGTGAATAACACATCAGGAGAAGGATTGTTTGAAGAGTTGCAGAATGCATTAAAAGTTCTTGATCTTGATATTGATGATGTAAGAGGGCAAGGTTATGATAATGGATCAAATATGAGAGGGAGACACCAAGGTGTACAAAAGAGGCTTTTGGATATAAATCCTAGGGCAATGTACACTCCATGTGGTTGCCATAGTCTTAATTTAACGCTTTGTGATATGGCAAACTCTTGTGGCAAAGCGAAAGACTTCTTTGGAACAGTACAACGTATTTACAGCTTGTTCGCAAATTCTACAAAACGATGGCTGATTTGAAAGAAAATATAAAAGGACTGACTTTCAAATCATTGTCGGCCACACGATGGGAAAGCCGTGTTGCGAATGTTAAAACAATTCAATCCCAACCTCTACAAATAAAAAAAGCTTTACTCCAATTAGCAGAAAGTGACAATGACTTAGTAACTAGAAGTGCAGCTAAATCTTTGGCAACATACGACATTGGGAATTTTGAGTTTTTATTGGACATGACTATTTGGTATGAAATATTGGCAGCTGTTAATGAGGTTAGCAAAGATTTGCAATCTAAAGACATGCTTATTGATGTTGCTATAGAACAAGTACAAGGATTGATCGCTTATTTTGAAAAGTACAGAGAAACTGGGTTTGTGGAGGCTATGATTAATGCTAAAAAAACTTGCTATTGAAATGGAAATTGATCCCGTGTTTCCAGAAAAACGTCAAGTTCGTAGAAAAAAACATTTTGATGAGAA